TTCGATTTGTTTAGTATTAATATATCTGTATGAGGAGATATGACATATCTGTGAATACTGCTTTTGAGTTAGCCCCGATTGTATTCCATTTCGCGAATAAGGAATGAAGAACTACTTTCAATGTGTATGCTGGAGGGTAGATAATTAGAATCACAGCGTAATGTAGGAAATAGAGATTTCAATAATGCAATTAGTTCAAGTTTTTGTTGTGTGACGATATTGTAGTGTCATCTGCAATCATGTCGTTTGAATGAAGCATTGAAGTTAAAATCACTTTTTGGTTCCTACAATTTGATTTCGATAATAATAATTATCATCATTGAAACCATTCGTGAGTGTTGAGACTTCAGTGACAGTCTGAAATTAATCAATTATATCGACCCGTCATAGATACTTGCACCATCTGATTTTCTCACTTTGTCTTCGCGTAAATTGCCACATTACCTCGTATATAACATCACCACAGCACATCTCTCTTTCGCTAATTCCCTGTTGTTTCTTAGGTATAGGCAAAGTATATCATTTGGGTACATGCGGTGGAAGATACAACGCATTGGTGATGGAACTGCTCGGCCCTAGCTTGGAAGATCTGTTCTCTCTTTGCAGTAGACGATTCAGGCTCAAAACTGTCCTCATGATCGCAGATCAGCTGATTACGAGAATAGAATACGTCCATAGTAAGAGGCTCATCTTCAGAGATGTGAAGCCCGAGAATTTCTTGATTGGAAGGTCGAGGAACAAGAAGGATAAGATAATACATATAATCGACTTCGGATTGGCCAAGGAATACATTGATGTCGACACTGGAAAACACATACCGTTCAAGTATGTGCAACACAATACCACTCGTATATATTGAAATACTGAAAATAATTATACAGTGTGTCCATTTAGTGCGTAATTCTTTGATATCTCCAAAGCCATAACCTATAGAAAAAAACTTTGAAGAAAAAACTTCTTCAGTTACTCAAGTTGCTTATTTCAAAAATATTTTTAACATTACTGGGTGTTTAATAAAAGCGGGATGACTCGGAGACGAGTTTTTTTAAATAAAACACCCTGTATTGTTTATTCGGAATTTATTTCGCTGAGGTTTAGCTTCACATCGCTGTAAAAAAAATTGAAATCGGTTACGACGTTGCCAAGTTATAATTGATAAATCTATTTTCACCACTATTGAAGAGTCATGTTGAATTGGGCATGGTATATTCATTTATTCAAATTATGAAAATATTTGTGGCATACAGTAGTAGCAAGGACTCACGTATACAAATTCAGTAATTTTGCAACATGTTCTTTTACATGATGCTATATTTCGCATTTAGAATTTCGCAAGATTCAGATGGCATTCATTAGAATTTTTCAAATGGAACACCCTGTTTTTTTTTCCACAAATTCATTCCGACATCTTGCACCTTTTTATCGCTGACTATTCCACTCTTGATCTCGAGAACCAATCAGAATCGACCATTTTCACGGTTTCTTCTGTATTCTAGCGATATTTTTTGTTTATTAAATTTTATCGGACTTGCTCTACCAATACAGAAGCCGAATTGACTCACACGTGACCAACAAACCTCGTTTATCAGCGATAAAATTTTGACATCGTGTCTGGTCAAGATTGCTTTGTATTCAAATCTGACACAAGAGACAATAACCTAAGTACCTACTTCATTTTATTTACTTATAATTCGCGTTAGTGAGACATTTTGTACGAAAGGCGAGACAACTTCATTCTGGCTGGACGTTTCATGTGTAATTTAATAAGTTTGCATATTTGTTGACGGTCTTCAGTCACTCAAATTGTTCTACCAGGTGATGTGGCTCATCTGATAGGGTTGTGGCGCGGTGATGCGAAGGTCGGTGGTTCAAGCCCGTCGGCGACAATAATTTTTTTTTTAATTATTTCATGTCACATAAATTCAATTTATTTTGTTCGAATTGGATAGCAAATGTATACACTCTTTTGAGAGCAACCATCTCCAAGATAATAAACAATATACTGTTTATCAAAATTGATTCCACTTTGTGAATAGCTATAAGTAGGTAGTTAATTTCTAAAAAATTGAATTCTGTATTTCATTACTATCATTATGTTCTTCTTCGCAGTTTGAGTTGGAATATACTTGAATTATGTTTCCTATTTCTTATATATATTGTCTCATTCAATCATGAAATAGTCATACGAATACAACTCGTGATACTATTTTTCCTGGAAATATTCGTCGATTGACATACTCCAGCTTGCTGCTCTAATTTCGCTCATGACATTGATCCAAAACTACTCGCCTACGGCTCGTAGTTTTGATAACAATGTCATTCACGAAATTACTAGGCAACAAGCTGTCGTAACAATCACCGAATATTTCCGGCAAAATATTATCACTTGTGGTATTATATATGAAAAAAAATCATAATCGGCTGCGGCGTTGTCAAGTTATGGATAATTTCCTTATTTTTACTACTATATCGGAGTATAATTTTTACGTCATAG